GGAAAATACTTAGCGTAGAAAAAGTTTAGCGAAAGAGAGTCATAAAAGTCCTCCGCGAGGACTGACGCTTTCATCACTGAATACGTTGAATAATGATTGTCGTGTACATCGCGACAGAGTTGAAATTGTTGGCTCACGACGAAGTACAAAATGCTGGTTGTTTTAATAAAATAATTTATTAGTGAAGCGTAATTGATTTAGTCCACGACGAGGACCTTTATAATATTTTGTGGTCGAATTTGTACAATGTTCTATCCCGGATTTTTAGAATAATCTCATTCGTATTTTTACAATAATCCCCCGTCGTTGCTTGCAGTCTACCTTATATGTATACTATATTTCGTGGACATTACATATATGTCTTTCTTGTCTTTCCATTTTACAACCAAAATTCCATTACACGAGCGCGATATCACGTCAGATCATTTTAGTTTTGCAGCTGCGAGTTCTTTAGGTATATTCTTCCTATTGCTTCTCACTGTTCCTATGGCGTTAATTGTTATAGACTGTAGCGTTTGAAATAGACTTGGCGAGGAATACCAATTGTCCAAAAATAGAGTATGCCCGTAACCAGCTAGTACTGTGGAAATAAACATTGTCACATTTTCAGATGCACTTACATTCGCAATTCTATTTAAACCTTGACCAGTGTAGATTTTGAATTTAATGCAATAGTCCGACTTGGATTCACATAATTTATAAAATTTCACTCCAAAGCGTGCTCTTTTGGACGGATTATACTGTTTGTACGACATTCGTGTACTTCATTAGCGATACATCTAACGAAATGTATTCGGCGGGAGTGTAGATATTTTGAAATTTCTCATTGAAATAATTGATTACACTTCGCACTTTACATAAACGATCGTCATCTTTTGCAACTTCATTGTCAGTAAAGTGCAAAAAACGTGAAATTTGGGCAAATCTCCAATACGGCATTGTTTTTCGAAATATTGGTGTTTCGATTACGCTTCTTTTTGACCAATATGACTGCACAGTGGGTTTTTGGACTGGCGACATCAAAATGCACAAAGCAAAATAGGCATGTACTTCATCTACAATATATTGGTGGCCCACAAAATGTCTTCAAACTTTCGTAATGTACCCGACTAGAATTATTAGTTTGGCAGACATTAGGTCCGTATTTAACTAGTCCAATTTGGCTGTTAGGCTCGAATGGGGCAGCTCCATCACGTCAGCATGCGGCATGTAACGCGGAACATCCGCGACTGCCTCATTGGGAAATTCGCATGAGGCCCGTATTAGGAACCCCCCGTATGGGCCACATTAGGCTTTCCCAATGACTATCCAGTGAGGCCAAACGTATTAGGCCCACGTTAGGCTTCCCAATGACTATTCAGCGAGGGCAAATGCATTAGGCCCACATCAGGATAGCCTTATTAGGCCCTCATTGGGAGACATTAATGAAATCTCATGAGGGATATCTCATAAAAAATCTGTGGTGTAGGCTTGAGCTCTTTAAATTAATTCGCAAATGAAATAAGACTGCTCTTTTATTTCAATTTTTCATTTATTATGTATACTATATATATAATCGTTGATTGCAGGGTTGTGGGTATAGGTAATAAAAGTTGAAATTAAGAAAATAACAATGGGATTGATTATATTTATATGATTTGATACACTAGAATAATGAATAATAATAATAATTAAGGAAATTAAATCATTAAGAAGAAGGGTTATTCCACGCCAAATCAATCACTTTTTTCTCTCAATGTTTGGGATTTTGTCCACACTAGAATATATATACATGTTCTGGCCCTCGTGAAATTATGCTTATCGTAAAATTCCAGACTCCGTATTCTTTAAACAAATTCCAAATCGAGAAAATGATTACTTTAATCCTAGCATAATTTCACGAAGACTACAACATATACAGGGTGTTCGGCCACCTCTAGCAAAAATTTTAATGAGCGATAGTAGAGGCCAAAATAAGACTAAAATCAAGTATACTAATTTGTTGATGGAGGCTTCGTTACAAAGTTATTAACATTTAAAGTTCCGCCTGAATCATGGCAACCATCGAGCATATGCGTAAGCGTGGGAGGTCAGGAGACGATGTATTACAGGAACACCGAGCTTACCGACTTATCGATCGCCTTTCGTGTCTGCGTCAACTCTCAGGACGGCGAACGTGGTACGTTGAATGAAATCCGACAGCCCCTCGTTTTTGCGTCAACTCCCAGGAAGGTAAACGCATATCGTCGAATAGGATTCAACCTGTCTTATGAACATCCAGAGGGGCATATCAATACTCGCCCGACAAGATGTTCACAGAGAGAGGGTGAATGCCTCTTTTAACACACACATTTTTTTCTGTATAAAAATCACCCACACGCGAGCATACACGCATCGCGATTGTCCCGTCCGCGAATGTCCACGTGTATGTGCACCGCGATTGTCCCGACCGCGAGTGTCCACAAATAAATACTGTTGCACACGCACCATCATACTTTTTTCCAAAAAAAAACCACACGCGAGCATACGCGCACCGCGATTGTCCCGTCCGCGAGTGTCCACGTGTACGCGCACCACGATTGTCCCGACCGCGAGTGTCCACAAGTAAATACTTTTCGACGACCACCACTATTCAATTAAATAATACACGCGCACCGTGATTGTCCCGATGACTGCCTTCGAAATGAGAAAAGACAAACGATGACGAGTAGCGAGAAAAGCAGACACATTATTAAAGTGCCAAACGCGCGGCCTACGAAGCATACATTGTAACAATTTCCATGTACGTTCTGGGTGTCATATTTTAAATATTAAGTAAAAAGAAATATTTATGATCGGGGAGTTTTAAAACGTGTATTTCTGTAAACAAAATTCTGTACATTTTTTTCCATTATCATACTTATGCCTACATAAGTCGGAAAGTAAAAATGTCGGGGCTTTACAATGTATGCTTCGTAGGCCGCGCGTTCGGCACTTTAATAATGTGTCTGCTTTTCTCGCTACTCGTCATCGTTTGTCTTTTCTCATTTCGAAGGCAGTCGCCAACGAATACGGACATTCAATAGCTCTAGAACTATACAATCTGAATTAATATTCAGTCACGGGACAATCACGGTGCGCGTGTATTATTTAATTGAATAGTGGTGCTCGTCGAAAAGTATTTACTTGTGGACACTCGCGGTCGGGACAATCGTGGTGCGCGTACACGTGGACACTCGCGGACGGGACAATCGCGATGCGTGTATGCTCGCGTGTGGGTGATTTTCATACAGAAAAAAATGTGTGTGTTAAAAGAGGCATTCACCCTCTCTCTGTGAACATCTTGTCGGGCGAGTATTGATATGCCCCTCTGGATGTTCATAAGACAGGTTGAATCCTATTCGACGATATGCGTTTACCTTCCTGGGAGTTGACGCAAAAACGAGGGGCTGTCGGATTTCATTCAACGTACCACGTTCGCCGTCCTGAGAGTTGACGCAGACACGAAAGGCGATCGATAAGTCGGTAAGCTCGGTTCCTGTAATACATCGTCTCCTGACCTCCCACGCTTACGCATATGCTCGATGGTTGCCATGATTCAGGCAGAACTTTAAATGTTAATAACTTTGTAACGAAGCCTCCATCAACAAATTAGTATACTTGATTTTAGTCTTATTTTGGCCTCTACTATCGCTTATTAAAATTTTTGCTAGAGGTGGCCGAACACCCTGTATATAATTCTGGTTTGAACAAAATCCCAGACATCGAGGGAAAAATGTGGTCGATTTGGCATGGACTGACCCAGAAGGGAATGACATTGAAAGTTCCAATATAGTGTGAAAGTGAACATCAATCTTGAGGTAAGGTTGTATCTTCGTGCGTCTCTCGGATTTTTCTGTGGCTTTTAACTCGTTCTCCTTCCCAATCTCTAGAATGATGTAAAACCGTTGACAAAACTTTTCTGACATCGCTTTCGCTCAAAGCATTTTCAGTTGACGAAAAAGTTGATAGCAGCGATGCTGGAATAAAAGAATAATTTGATTAGATTTTTTCATAATTCAATTAATACAAATCTTATTGTTGCGTGTACTCTCGCGACCGGTAAAATTGGAGTGGCGCGAAAGGAACGCTTTCCGAAGAGTAAGTTATTACTATCGGAATAGTTGGAATAAATGAATAAAGTACTGAACGAGCGTAGTTGATTTTTTGACTGTGTAACGTGGAATGTCTATTTCAGGTCTGATGTCGGTATTTACATGGATGGTGGAATGTTCTTATTGGCTAATGTGTCGTGTTGTAGGAGTGTCGTTGGTTCTGAATGATTGGTGTAGTTGTTCTGTGTGGGTGTGGTTTGACTGTACTGACGGAAAGGGCAGGCTCTGGTGAGGAAGCCCTTTCCGGGGTTGGGACGGAGTTTTCTAGTAAATTTGAATGTTAGTAACAATTAAGTGAAAGCTAGCCAAGTGAAAGTGCGCGCACGTGCATTTCAGTTGTCTAGAAAACTCCGTCTTGGTTACCCTTGAGTAACAAAAGGCTGAGGGTCGTTTGCAGGCCCGGCCAACGGCTCGACCGAGGGCCTTGACTGTCGCCAACTAACCCTGCCATAAAGGCTAAATTGCGAGGTCCTGCTCACGTCGCAACATACCGGCCCCCTTGACCGATTACGGTCAACAAGTAAAGATTTTGCAGAAGATTATTTTACATGATGAACCTTAAAATTTAACTTATCTATATACTGTACAAAATTTGTTTGAGGCAGGTTGTAAGTCTGCATGTCTCACTGTGTAGGTGCGTGTATGTACGCGTGTGTGTGACTGCTGAGGTCTGTGAATATTTTATAAATGTTTAGAAAGTGTGTTATAATATTGCTGAGTGTAGCTTAAAGTTTAGTGTGTAGTTGTAACTATTTACAGAGTGTCTTGTGAATGTAACTTAACATCTAGTGACTCGAATATTTTAATTATATTTTTGTGTTTTTTTTATACATATATATACATTGTTTCGGTGTTGTATTAAGCCGAAGGTATTCTGGATTTGATAAATTAGTCCACCGGCAACGGCGATAACCTTTTGACAGATCTTTTATATTCGCCTGCTATGGTTTTTACCGTTGCGACGCGGGTGATGCTGTCGTCATCAGGGTGGACTGCGATGACGCGTCCCAGGGGCCAGCATATAGGCGGCACATTGTCTTCGTGCATGATAACCAGCGTGCCTTCCTTGACCTCGGTTGGGGTGTTGGTGTGCCATTTCCTGCGGACTGTCAAGTGGTGCAGATAATCTTTATACCAGCGCGTCCAGAAATGCTGCTTCATCTGCTGGACGTGCTGCCACATTGTTAGTCTGGATGTTGGAACATCCGTAACGTTCGACTCATTGATACTGGTGATCAAGTCGCCGATAAGGAAGCGACCGGGCGTAAGGGCGGTAAAATCGTTCGGATCGGATGTTAGTGGTATGAGTGGGCGAGAATTTAGTATGGCTTCAATTTCTGCGAGATATGTGGTCATGGTCTCGTATGTTAGCAGGGTTTTCCCGACGGATCTGAGTAAGTGGCGTTTCACCTGCTTGACCGCTGCCTCCCATAATCCACCAAAGTTGGGCGCGCGCGGGGGAATGAAATGCCACGTGATGTTATTATTGATAGCGTAGTGTTGTATGACGCTGTCGGTGATTAAGGCTCTGAAGGAGCTGTGCACTTCGTCTTCGCATTGTCCGAATAAATATCGGACGACTTTCCCCGTCTCGCGAAAAACCTTTTGAGGGCCGCCAAAAATGCATCTGTGGTCAGATCGCCGACCAATTCAAGGTGTACCGCCTTCGTCGAGATGCACACGAATACTGCTATGTATGCCTTTACGGTTTTGGTGTTGCGTACGCGCTTTTCCTTTATAAAAACTGGGCCGCAGTAATCGATACCAGCCCTTGAAAATGGACGGTTAAAAGTAATGCGGTCTTTGGGTAGGTTGCCCATTTGGTAGTTTGTTATTTTCGGGTTTGCCCGATAGCATGGTGTTTCGGCCGCGAAGCTACTATGCCCTCGTGCTCTGTAGTGCGCGGACCGTGCGTATTACACAGCTCCGTACTGTGTTCCTTTTCGAAGGACCACCCAAAATACTTTGGGAAAATACCGGTAACCTTGAAGCCCATTGCTTCAAGGAAGAGCCCGCTGCTCTTTTGATGACGCGTGAATTTTGGTATTCTCGCGGAGACTCTGCTCGAGGTTGTAAGGCTCGATCAAAAACGAATCTAATGCTAAGAAGTAAAACTACCCTTAACCTAAGCTCGGTTTCCCCTGCCAAGGTGACGAAAACGCGCAGCGCGAACCGGTGGGAGGATTGGTCAAGCCAATCCTCAAAGTTGTCACCTTGGCAGGGCGTTTCCTGCATTTTGCAACATTCCCGCCCACCCTGCTGTCCAGTGTCCAGGTAGACCGTGCAGGAGTGAGCGAGAACGCTGCATTATTATTAACATTGGGAATACCCAATGACCGCGAGACCCCGGTGGTCCGCAGCTGTGTGCCAGCGCGGGTTTACGATACGTCAATCGCTATTGAGGCAAGGAAGCTCCAAGGATTCCATGTCCCGTGTGGAGTTTGGAGTTTCCTTAATGGCCGTAACGTAATTTAGCAAGTAAAAATGTCTTGAAGGCCTAATCCTCAAAAATAACGGAGAAGTCACGTCCGTATCATAAACCTCGCGATGTTAAGGTTCCTTTAGAATCCTTAACACATGGTACGCAGGTACGAATACACCGTTTCACCGCTTGTATGCCATTAATTGGCCAATAGTTCTGCCGAACCGCGTTTAAGGTGCCTAAGACGCTTGCATGGAAGTGCCGCAGGTGCTCGTGGCGAATGATCAGGGCCGTGAGATGGTGTTTTGCCGGTATGAGGATTGGGTGCTTTGCATCGTATGTAGCATCGGATTTGATGATGCGACCCCCCACGCGCAAAATTCCCTTTTCGTCCAAATACGGGTTTAATGTTCGAAGTTTACCCTTGTATGAATGTGGTGTTTTGATTAGTGATTTGATGTCATCGGTAAATTCTGTTTGTTGAACGGATTTTAGGATTCTTTGCCGCGCAAGTTTCAACTCGTCTAAGCTAAGGGGTCCCGTTTGCCTTTGTTTAGTCTTTAAAATATGGTGAAATCGAAGGCAATATGCAATGGTACGTTCTAATCGCCCCAAGGCCGAAAATCTGTTTATGATTGTAATTGTAGGAGTGGCTGTAGCCAGGGACACTGGTATGGCGCTCCGGCACCTCGGCAGGTAACAACGCGTTAAACGGCCATTTGTCCTCTGCTTGTCGCAACCATTGAGGACTGGAAAACCAATTATTGATATTTCTTAATTCCGACGGCTCTACACCCCGCGATAAGCAATCAGCTGGATTGTCCTGCGACGGAACATGACGCCATTGACCCTCATCCGTTGATTGCTGGATTTCGCTCGCACGATTCGCTACGAATACCTTTAAGGTGTGAGGAGGGGTTTTTAGCCAGTGTGTTTAAATAACGCGTTAATTCGTTAATAAGAAACGGCGGTTAAATTCTCGCGTGATCTATAGAAAAAAGGGGACATTTCTTATACGGTGTTGTCCTCAGTGTTCGCGACATTCCAGAGCCTTCTCTGCGTCGTAACCTGCTTCGGGAGCAATACCGTGTAGAAAAAATCCAAATTTACCTTCGATAATAGTCACGCGATCGGCCCAGTAACGGTTCCATGAGAACCGGTGTTACTACGCCGAAATAACAGAGAGGATTCAAAATTAATACGAGACAGACAATTTCCCCTCTCGCGATCGCGGATAAGAGGGTCTGTCTCGGCAATCACTTGCTATCTGGTTCTCGACGAGTTCGCATCGTCCAAGCCGACCTCGTCCAACACCGCGATCACGATATACGAGCAATTAAATCCGTTTAATTGTATCGTTGCACCACAGAACCGAAACGGAACGAAATTAAGACTGTGGTAAATTCGAAAGAATTAACCTAGTCGGATTTCGTACCTCACGGTTTCGTGAGTTTAGTGATCGTTGTGTTAACAGAACCATTCTGGAATCGAACGAAGCATTGAAACAATTTACAGTTAACAACCGGTGGCTGACCATAATCGTTTGTGCACTTCAATAGTGTTCGATTATCGCCACCGTTGCGTCAATTGTTTCAAAGCATAAGCGATTACCCACATTAACAACCGGTGGCTGATAACAATCATCGTAACACTTAAATAGTGTTTGATTGTCACCACCGTTGTGTGGAAGGCACGTACCGCTGTAATCAGCTGTCGTGCAACGAGAACCGAGAAAACTTCTCGGTTTTCCTTGAATTTTTGTACGATTCAAACACTCTTATAGGGGCCTTTTGGCGCATACCCTGAGTGGGATCGTCGTTTCCTAGGATCGTAATTCAGTTTGAGTACCACCCCCATAGGGGCCATATTTGGCGTATTCCCTGGGTGCTCTCGGCTGAATTCGATTGGCTCGAACGTCGGTTGCGGATCACCAGTGTGTACGGACACTCGGTGTAGAGCGACGTTCAAAGGGCACCGTGGTGTAAGCACCTTAACCTTCGGACGCTTCTAGCGCAGTTAAGGGCTTGCATCACACCGGTCCCGTACGGACCAGTAAACGACGCTGAATCACGGAGTGGACAATTTCTGGAGCCTTACAACCTCCACCTGTTGTCACCTCCTGCAAAATTCAAGCCAGCAGCAGTGGGAAGATCGAGATTCAAATCTTGTCTTCCCCATCTGCAATTAAAAGTTTCCAGAACTGCAGTCGAACGTTTCTCGATCACACGAGAAACGTTCAAGAATACAGTCCACTAACACAGTTGCTTATCGCTGTGAAGGAATCCCGCTCCTGTTTATCATAAACAGAGAAAGGAGCGTGTGGATTGACGCGATTTTAAAATATAAATTTCTTCATTTTTTGTTTTATTTAATTTTGTTTTTTCTTTTAATTTGCAAAATTTTGAATAAGCGAAAGAAATTTACACGTGTACCATTCACTTTCCCCCACATTCCCACTCCCTCGTAATTCGGACACCTCGTTAAAGGGTGAGAGCGACAACAACTCGCACCTATTTTAACACAGTGCAACACAATCATTGAATCTGTCCAAAAAATTTTCTGTTTTGTTCTTATTTTGAGGGATTTTTCCGCGGCGCTAAATAACTTTGCAAGTAGTACCGCGGCACATAATTCTAGGCGCGGTAAAGATTGTACTTTTAGGGGTGCGACTCTACTTTTTGAGCAGACTAAATACGCGAAGTGATGTCCGAATGTGTTAGTGGAACGCATGTATATACAGGCCCCGTACGCTTTCTCACTGGCATCGCAGAACCCGTGTAGTTCCAACTCGATGTGCTTATCGCAGATGATTCTGCGCGGTATTGACAATTCCCGGATGTTTTTCAATTGCGATTCAAAAACTTTCCATTCGGTATGTAACGTTTCTGGAATGGATTCATCCCAGTTCACGCCTACTTACCAGAGCTTTTGCATCAATATTTTGGCCTTGACGATAATGGGCCCCAACAAACCTAACGGGTCGAAAAGTTGAGCCACGCGTGACAGTATGGCGCGCTTTGTTACCTGCCTAAGGGGCTCATGCCTTTTCACCGTATAACCGAGCGTGTCGTGTACCTGGCTCCAGTACAGACCAAGCGTTTTTCTAAATTCGTCCGCAATTATGTTTGTGCAGTCGCTTTCATTGTAAGCAGTTACGGATTGTAGCAGTTTTACATTGTTTGACGACCATTGTCTTAATTCGAAGCCACCCTTTTTTGTTAACTCGATTAGCTGGTCGCGAACTAGCGTAGCCTCCTCTACCGTGTCTGCTCCCGTTAAAAGGTCGTCGACGTAAAAATCAGATTTCAGTACAGTTGCTGCGCGGGGGAACTGGGCGCCTGCATCATCCGCTAATTGGTGAAGTGATTTGATGGCCAGGTAGGATGCAGACGCGGTGCCGTAGGTTACCGTATTTAGCACGTAGGTGGACATGGGGTCATTTGGATTCTCGCGCCAAAGTATCTTGTGGAAATGCCGATCTTCCGGAGCTAATTTTATTTGGCGGTACATTTTGGCTATGTCGGCGGTTAAAACGTACTTATGTACTCGGAATCTGGTAACTATTGCGAATAGGTCTTCTTGTATGGTGGGACCGATCATTAGCGCGTCGTTTAAGGATACACCCGTGGATGATTTCGCGGATGCATCGAACACCACTCTAATTTTAGAAGTCACGCTATCTTCCTTGTGCACCGCATGATGCGGAAGATAGTAGCCATTAAATTTAGAACAGAATTTAAGCGGAGTCATGTGTCCCAAGCTCTCGTATTCGCTCATGAAGTTAATGTATTGCTCGCGTGCTACGGGATTACGCTGAAGGGCCTTTTCCAGGGATAAAAATCGCTTCATAGCTGTGGCATAGGATTCGCCCAATTGCTCGATTTTGCTGTTACACGGCAATCTGACGATGTATCGTCCAGATGCCGAGTCGCGACGCGTGTTAATGGAATAATGCTCTTGGCATGCTTGTTCTTCTTTCGAAAGTAATTTTTCTCGAGGAGTTTCCTCGAGCTCCCAAAATCTGGCCAATTGTTCATCTAGCGAGTTTATTGCCAGATTACAAACTACCGCCTTGGAATTTTTATGGCTAGGGGTTTCACCAACAACTAGCCACCCTAGTAATGTTTTACGTAGCATGACTGTTGGTTGTGCCAATTTAATTTGGCCTACGCTAAGTAGGTGCCAGAATAATTGTGCCCCTAACAGGCCGTCGACGGTTGTGGGTTTATGGAAACTCGGATCGGCCAGCGGTATGTTTTTGGGTAGTTCTAGTGCTTGTATATTTATGGCGTCGTGTGGTAAAGGTAGGGTAATTTGCTTAGCAATTAATAATTTTAACTGGGCGTTGAAATTAGTAGTGCGCGACTGTATACGAGCTGTTATGTATTCCGTTATTTCCGATTGCATGTTATTCATACCGGTGACCGGAATTTGAGTTTGAGAGAAGGGCAGATTGAGTCTCTTGGCAAATTGTCGCGTTATAAAATTTGATTGTGCGCAGGAGTCCAGGGGAACTCGGCAGCGATGCGGTTGTCGATTCTCATCTATAATTTCGATGACGGCAGTGGATAATATGACGCGACTTTCTATGGCGTGATTTAAGCAAGCGACATTGACGCGACTTGCAGAAGGTTGAGGTTCTACCGGTGTGTCGGTGTGTAAGAAGGTGTTATGTTTTTTGTGGCATACCTTACAACCACTGCTGTTGCATGTAGCTGCAGTATGCCCCTTCTTTAAACAATTGGAACAAAGCCGTTTATCTGAAGCAATTTTTATCCGCTGGGATACCGGAGCCGTGCAGAATGCGTCGCACGCGAAAATCGCGTGAGGTCCGGTGCACAAGGGACAGCTGACTTGTGTCGTCACATGCACCTTTTGGGTCGTATAATTATTATTGTTTACGGGCCGCGACGCGAATTGGTGTTGTACGTTTTGGGTGGGCCGCGGCGCGAATTGATGCTGTGGTGGTCGTGCTTTGAAAACGTCCGCCTGACGCGTACTAAACGCCGGACCCGACGGCTCGATATCTTGGCATCGATTGTGCAAACATTTGCATAGCACGTCGAGACTAGAGAACGAGTTGTCGCGCGTGTGCTCCTTCCATCTCAGGTTCGTTTCCTGATCTAAACGCGATAGGCACATGAAAATTAAAAGCGTGTCGGCAGACGGCTGTTTTAGTGTTTTGAGCGCTCGATAATGCGATTCCAAATCTGTTAAGAATGGTCTCAGATTGCTATGCGTTACTCTCGTAAGGTGCGGTAAATTGAACAAGGCGCGTACGTGGTTGGTTACGATTACCGCGGGCTTATTGTAACGGTCCTCTAGTAGAGACCATGCCGGCTGATAGTTCGCGGCTGAATTTTCTAGTGAGTCTATAACGCGCGACGCCTCATCACGCAAACATGACCGTAAATACATTAATTTTTTGCATTCACTCAAACGGAGGTTTTCGTGCACGGCGGATTTGAATTGATCGGCGAATCCGGGCCATTCTTCATATTGTCCACTGAATTGTGGAAGATGCAATTTTGGCAAACTAATCTCGTTTTCCAGCGCTTCTAAGCTGGCTGGCGTAATGTTAATACCGCGTTCATGACCTAAATGTTGTGCGGCGGATGCTTGTGCCGCTTGCAATAATTTTTGCGCACGAGAAATGTATGTCAGATACGCGTTTTTTATCTCGAGACACTCTTTCATTGATTCTCCCGTTTCGTCCGCGGCATCTAATTCGCCTTGGTTTTTAGAAAATGACGCGAATTCCGTTGCCAGATCAGCTAATCTATTTTTAATTTCCACGTCGTGGCTTTCGGGTTGGCAGTTGTCAAGGGCTTCTTTAAACATTAGCAGTTCGAGTTTAAACGCTGCGCGTTTTAATTTTAATGCCCGCATGCGTTCTTCCGCGGTTGGAGCCATGACGCTATATATTATTTGGGAATGGAACGAAAGGACGACGCACTTGATCGCAGTAAAATTGAGCGTACGTTACCGTTCCGTTGTTTTCCCAGGAAGATCTGCTACTGCGGCTGGTGATGCCGCTGCGTTGACTCGTTGAGTCTGGGCCTTTCTGCTTGGCAGCTCTCAGCGACGTCGATGTATCGGCTGTTGGTGCAGCGGTCCAACGATGCTCGTTCTGCCGGTGTCCTTGCTGGTTGAAGACGTTCGACGTTGATTCCAACGTGGTTTTTCGATACAATGTTGTATACTGTTGTGGCGAGTGCTGAGAGTTGGCGTATGTTTCTCAAGCGTATGTCTGGATGCAGATGCAGGATGGATTGATGTTTCCACAGCTGCTCGATCCGGCTCGAAGGACCAAAATGTTGCGTGGACTCTCGCGACCGGTAAAATTGGAGTGGCGCGAAAGGAACGCTTTTCGAAGAGTAAGTTACTACTATCGGAATAGTTGGAATAAATGAATAAAGTACTGAACGAGCGTAGTTGACCTTTTTGACTGTGTAACGTGGAATGTCTATTTCAGGTCTGATGTCGGTATTTACATGGATGGTGGAATGTTCTTATTGGCTAATGTGTCGTGTTGTAGGAGTGTCGTTGGTTCTGAATGATTGGTGTAGTTGTTCTGTGTGGGTGTGGTTTGACTGTACTGGCGGAAAGGGCAGGCTCTGGTGAGGAAGCCCTTTCCGGGGTTGGGACGGAGTTTTCTAGTAAATTTGAATGTTAGTAACAATTAAGTGAAAGCTAGCCAAGTGAAAGTGCGCGCACGTGCATTTCAGTTGTCTAGAAAACTCCGTCTTGGTTACCCTTGAGTAACAAAAGGCTGAGGGTCGTTTGCAGGCCCGGCCAACGGCTCGACCGAGGGCCTTGACTGTCGCCAACTAACCCTGCCATAAAGGCTAAATTGCGAGGTCCTGCTTGCGTCGCAACACTTATAAATGGTAAATAGAAAAATACCTTTGACAACATTATAAAGATTTGTATTCACAAAAATGAATAATTTTCCTTCGGATGGTTTCACGGGGTTAAATTTCAGGGCAAGATCTCGTGACAAGCAGAATCTCAGTATCTCGCCCGCATTTCGGACGATTGTTGCTCGTTTGTTGAAATGATTTATGAATTTTTGTGCCTGCAATAAATGTTATGATGGAATTATAATACTTGTTTTACATACGTAATAGATAAATATATAAAGACGGAAAAATAGAACAATTTAATATAAAAGTTTACCAATTTTTGGCGAAAATCTAGATCTGTTTTTAGATTGTTGTCGAACTCTTGAAATTCTTCTTTGGTATTGCAGGTGTTACGTATGCCGAACGTTTCGTTCCCCAATTTTTCTATACCACTTGCGTGCATTAGGAAAACGCCCTGCTACTTATCTACCCTTTGGAATGTAGAGTCAGTTCCCACGAAATGCAGCTGCTCGGTGACTAACGAAGTTCGGAGATTACCAAATATGGTAATGTCTAATGTGCATCCGAATCCTCCCCCACAGATTTTTGGGTATATAAACCCCTTCGTTTCCTTACTCGGGGGATCAGAATCGTACAGTTACGTTTAGAGTCAACATCACGTCTCGTTACGCTGTCCACGGTTCTGACAGTCAGTTGCATTTCGTGAGATCGGGCTACAGTACCCTTTCGTATCAATTTTAAACCATATAGAATCCGTGAACCGGTATAAATTCTATTACGGCCTCTATTGTCAACCGACTTACCCCCGCATCGCCAGTGCGTCAACACCGTGCAAAAATCATTCTTAGGTAATTATAATCATTCTTACAACGCGACATAACTGACACAAGACACTTGTATCTTATTTGTTTGTTAAGAATATATCTAGTTTCATTATTAAATCAGAGTTACTTATCTTCTTTAACCCATCATTATATAAAGCGATTATTGTTAGTTAAACGTTCCCACAATAATATAACCTTACCGCTCGGGTTATATTATATTTAATAATTGAAGTTACGAGGTCAATTAACATATCCTTAATCCAAATACAAATTCTTACAACCTAGTGGCTCCTCGATTACGCATCGAGTTCGTCCACGCAATCTAATACCATCCTAGCGGCTCCCCTGCTTACGCACCAGGGTTCGTCCGCATCCTACAGCTCCCTGATTACGCATCAGGTTCGTCTGTGATTTATCCAACCTCCCAGCAGCTCCTCGATTACGCATCGAGTTCGTCTGCGTTTGTTCCAACCTCCTAGCAGCTCCCCGATTTCGCATTGGGTTCGTCTGCGTCGTTATCAACCATCCTAGCTGCTCCCCGATCTTGCATCGGGTTCGTCCGTGCACCTCACTAACAAATTGATACCATATTCCATACTCTCTCTTGCACTCGCAGGCCACGCGCGCTGCACGGCCCTGGCTCGTAACACAGGGAAGCAATAATTTCCAATTCTGTTCAAAATCAGAATTTACATCACAGTTCACTACTGTTGTTTTTTCTAATTGCTGGATCGCCAGTTTGAGCTCAACCACTTGGCTACCCAGTTGGCTCATTCGTGTTAATAACATTTGATATTGCTTCTCTCCGGTGCAGTTTAAATCTACAATAAATTTTATGGTTGTAAAAATTACGTTAAAGTATTGTTGGACGGACGAGAAATTTGTTGCTTTCAATCATTTCGATTTATCTAACAGTTTATCATAATTGCCTTTTAATGAATTTTTCATTTGGTCCTGCAATGCGGTACATGACGAACACGATGATTGTTGAGGCTGAGTTGTTACCAAAGGCATTTTTTCAGTTACTGGTAATTCGCCCATTTTAAAATTGAAGTCAGGATCACTCTCTGAGCTTTCCGAAATTGGTGGTGTAATAATTTTCTGTCTCTTCCCGCCTTCACTGGTTGAATTGTTTTTGCCTTTCTTCCCATGTGCCGTAATCTTCCTTTCATTTGTATCGATAATTGATGACTCATCACTACTGTCATCTTCGAAATTATCCGAAATTGGTGGTGTAACTTTTTGTCGCTTCCCGCCTTTACTGGTTGAATTGTTTTCGTCTTTCTTTCCATGTCCTGTAATCTTCCTTTTAGTTGTATCTTTTGTTGACTCCTTACTCATCTCGACGACGCACAATTAATATAAATGAAGAGCGAAGAACGAACGGCCGCTTAGTTCAGTTTGTTTACGTTGGAAACAAAACAAAACCCGGCCGAAGCGCACGATGCCGCGACGCAATAATACAGTGTTTTAGGTAAATTAGGATAAGGATGTGTCCTTAATATGTTCATCAATACTTACAACCGAGTATGTGGTATTGGTGGATCCATGAGAGTCCATTGACGAAGCTCTTCTATGTCATTAAAGCCACAAATCTCTTGAACATTCTCTGCAGCCTCTACGCTTGTATTCTCTGTATGTTCATCTCTACTGTTATGTCCTGCAGCCTCTCTTGTCTCGTCTTCCTCTGATGACTCAATGTCATCATTAATTATCTGTGGTATATTTGTATTGACTTCCGAGACTTCTGCAACATCCGACTCAAAATTTTCTGAATTTACACTCCCACGTTCTTCATAGATTCTTGATCCACTGTTTTTGGACATCACTATTGTATCTGCTTCAGAATTTATAAATTCTGGGCATTGCTGATCACTTAATTTACGCCGCTTACGAAATCGTTGAACTCTGAGACGTGTGAGTTCACGAGTTTTCAGATCTCGCATATCATCCGACATCGCAGAGGAATTCTAATAATTATATATAAATAATCGTAAAAACTCTCTTACGGCAACCTAACCTCTACACGCTAGCTTGCGTACGTCTGACACTGCGAGAAGCTGAACTGCAATAGTTTGAGAGGCAAATGTTTAAGGAGGAATGCCCAACGTAGGCCTGCGCTCGGCCATCCCCATTTGCGCCCCGTATGACAACTATTAGGAATGCCCAACTTAGGCGTGCGCTCGGCCATCTTTGTTTGTGCCCCGTATGGCAACTGTAGCGGCCATTGTATAGCCACTACGCCCTTGCCAGAGTATGAATGGGAATGGAATGTAAGGATAGTTTTAAGCTTTCTATTTTTCCATTTTCCCAGGGTCTCGTGCGAGCATGGTCGTCCTGTTAAACACTTGGCGACCAGAGCCGTGCGAGGCGTCTGTTTTCCCTCAAGGTTTCGCCTGGGCCTCGGACCACCCTGATCCGGGCCCGGCGAGCCTCTTGACTTTTATGACTCTCTTTCGCTAAACTTGTCCTACACTGAGTATTTTCCAGTTTCGTTTTTCCGTCTTTCTGTCCTGTCTCTTTTTCTCTACCTTTGCTATTAGGGTAAGAAATTGTATATATTTAGGGGACGTGAGAAGAAAGACGCCCAGTCTATTTTAGACCCGAGTCTGGCTAAGACGTCGCGCGTTTGCGAAGCCAGTTTTAATAACTTTGACCTACGTGTGGCTACACCCCCGACACCCGCGAAATAAACTATTTAATAATTGTTGGGGTAGATTGAGGGTTGTCACTTGAACCTCCAGCCCCCTCAGCAACTATTAGGAATGCTCAACGTAGGCGTGCATCATTCTTTCCGGATTACGGCCTAATGAGGTAACAATTAGGCTTGCCGCAATTTAGGCGTACCCCATCATTTCCGCATTAGGCCCACATTTATGTTTAGGCATGCCTAACTGAAATTCTAGTCGGGTATGTTCTTCATGAACCATCTACGCTTACTGTCATGTGCGAAGAAAGTCAGAACCTTTTGGAGGATGTTGTTCTCGAAAAGAGTGGAATTATACATCTCCAACCTCGCTGTAAAGGATGTACCAATTTATTTGTGATCGAAGCTACACACGAGACTAGCAAGAATGCAACTTTTTATATTTCCCTGATAATGACTGTTGTATTTTAACGCCTCGTCCAGAAATAATCGAAGCAGCAACCCTAAAGTCAATACATCTTATGAACATCAACCTCACAGACCTCAAATATGCTGATAAAAAGCTAAACGAATTCG